CTCTCTCTCTCTCTCTCTCTCTCTCTCTCTCTCTCTCTCTCTCTCTCTTTCTCTTTTTTTTTAATACTTACTAACAATTATCCACGTTCATCGGTGAAATGAAATTTAATTTTTTATTTCATCCATCTTTGAAGACGTACAACTTTTTAACACAACACATTCACATCGATCTTCGTGAAATCCGTAATTGTAGCTCGGGTATATCATACAGTATTACTTATTATTATTATTATTATTATTATTATTATTATTATTATTACATTCAATCAATATCAATTTAGACCAGTTCGTTACTATCGTTACGTCATTTGATAGATACAATTTTCTATTGGAGGAATTTCTCTTTTAATATGTATACTATGTAACGAAAGATTTTACTGCCTCTTATATATTGCGTAACTGAGAAGCTGCAGAATTGGATGAAAATATCCAACCGAGAATAATATTTACCGATTTCAAGAAGAACGTTTATTATTATCTCTATCCTATTAAATATACATATATATATATATATATATATATACTTTGTATTAAGTGTCTTTAATTGTATAACGAAATAAGTATATTTCACGATGGGCACCGCTTTAAGAAGTATTTTGCATGTGAATGTTCTGATCGTAGGTGGATTACGACGCAATTATTTTATAAAACGTACTAAAAAAAAAAAAAATATTAAAAAAGGGAGATACGGATTAAATTGCGCGTTTCACAATTCGTAGAGCTGGTTTGCTGCGCGCGTTTAAATTTAATTAACACGGTTCTTTATGATATGTGACATAGGTCATAGGCTAAATTACCTTTCATTACGCCCATGAGAATTTAAATAGATTTGACTAAAAATATTGCTATCGCGCGTTTTAATTTCGCGCGTTTTTTAAAGTTTAGAAAAAAAGCAAGGAAAAGAAAAATCTTTTTCTCGATTATTCTTTATTCTCTTTGTTCTCTCTCTTTCCCTCTCCTCTCTCTTATTGCAAAAATTCTTTTCGCGAATTACAAAAAAAAAAAAGGTGATTTTTCCTCTTTCTTTTCTCTCTTTTTCAATATACTTTCTATTCGATACGTTGCACGCACATACCATCGATCGAGCTTCGATTCAACACAATCGTCGAGCGCAATGTATGTTTTACTACGTTTTTAAACGAATCCTCTCTTTATCTTTCCGTTTTTGGTAATTTTTTAGATTGAAAATTATATTCTGATATCGTTCTAAGCATTGTATATGTATCGCTTGTATGCAGCTTGTATTAAAGATTGAGCAACACAATTATTAAATTTCTCGAATTTGGTAAAATTTTCGTGTAATGAACTAACTGAGCGATTAACGATTTGTATCTTAACGCCTTGTAGAAGACTGAACCAATTAATTAAGGATTAGCGATTATAAAATGCGAGAAAGGATGAGAGAATTTCAAATGCTTGCGAGCTTTGGATGAAAATTTATAGCGACATATATTTGCTGTATTACAATAAGTAAGCTTTATTTTCTATGATCACATTTTGATTAAAATATCATGTAGAATATGTAATGTAAACAGTGAGGTATATATAGCGAAACAGGATAAAGATTTCTTGCTTTATTTGAATTATTTAATTTC